TTAATGGTTTAAACTATATATATGCATTATCTGATAATTTTTGAAAAAAACAACAATAGAAACAAATTTGTGGTCATTTTGTGGGTTCCATTCATGAAGAGTAAAACATTAGGAGTAAGAGATTTCTTATTCTTGACAACAGAAACACAGAATTCCAGGTACCCCTGGGAGGCAGCACAGAGCAGGAGATGGTGCAAGTACAGGCTTTGGGTTCAGACACTCAGAGCCTCTGTTTCCATATTTATAAGTTGGAGACACTACCTTCAAAAAAAAAAAAAAAACATTTTACCCTCCCATGAAATTAAATGTTTTCCCTGTGGGTTTTAAGAACCGAAATACAACTTCAGATAACCTATCTGAATTTATTTTATCTGCTAATTAACCTTTTTATAAAATATCCTTTTTTATAAAAGGATATGAACAATATAAGGCATGCAAGTCATGTTCACCTTTGGAAAGCAGAATACCATGCTAGAGGTTCAGAGGTTACCCAGGCGTACCCTGAGGAAAGTTGCTTAAGGGTCTGAGTCTTATTTCCATGTATAAAACCAGAATAATCTTACCACATGATGATAATGTGAGGATTAAATGAAATAATAATTAGCAAGTCATTTACCAAAAGAATAATATTTTAAAACTATCATATCTGTTAGATTTCATTGTGTTTCATTTTCTTTCTAAACCCATTATTTTATTTCCAGTTTAATAAAAGCAATTTTAACTCCCTTTAATACTTCAAAAAATTTCATTAGGTGGCATTCTATTTATGACAGGTAAAAAAGAGCCCTCAAACACTGATGTGTTACAAACACGAGGAGGGCATTTTTATAACACATTTACTTATTCATTCATTCGTTTGATGGATATTTAGCAAGCAACAATTTTGCGATAGGTACTAAGCAATACAATGTGTGAATATGAAGATGAATTAGATACATTACCTCCTTGTCGTGAAGTCATTCACAACCTGGTAGAGGAGGGAAGATTTGGACTTGAATGCCTAAACACACAAGGCGGCATTGTGTGTCATACATGCCACCAAAGAGGTATAAGAAAGTGTTATTCAGATATAAACAGGGGATGATTATGTCTTGAAGGAGTAATCAGAAAAGAATTTGTGAAAGCATCAATATCTTCTCTGGTCTTTGAACGATACATAAAGCTGTATTAGGTAGAGCTATCCATTGAGTCACTTCAAAAGGAAAGAAGTGTGTGAAGGGAAAAACGAACAAAGGGTAATGCACATGTGTGGATTGGCAGTCTCCCTTAGTCTGAGCCTAGGGTGCATATGAGGGGTAGCAATAGAAGCCTAGCTTCCAGTATCACATGCTGAGGAGATCATAGGTTTTTAAACATTGGTTTGTTTGTCTTTTTCTTGGCAGACAATGAAAGCCACTGGAGAAATGTATGGAGTGGCATGCCATGTTTCACTTGTTTTAGGAAAAAATCTGGCAAGCAGGAGACCTAAGGGTCTGGAAGATGCTAGAGACAGAAAGAGAGGTCACGAAGCTGTCTTGGCAGCTCAGGTGTGAGGTCATAAAGAAGCAATAAAACATGGCAGTGGAGAATAGAAGGGTAGCCAGGGATTCAAAGGATATTGTGCAAGAAAAATCAGTGGGACCTGGGAACTTATTGGATGAGGAAGACACATATGGCAGAAAGGCCCCATAGATTCCAAAGTCCAATAACTTTTGAGAAGAAAGAAATAGACGACTGGCACAGATACAACTCAGTTACAAGAGGAAACAGCCAGAGGGGAAAAAATAAGAGGCAGCTGAGCACACAGGATCTCTCTAAGCAGTGGAAGGTAAAAAAGGAAAAGGATCACAGCGTCACAGAGTGTGACAGCTGGGAGCATCATGATGAGGCAGAACTCTGAAATCTGACGGTCTCCGTCTGGTTTCTGTCTCTGCCACATACTAGCTATGGGACTGCTAGCTAGTTGCCGATCCAAGCCTTAGTTCTCTCATCAGAAAAGGAGAGAAAATAGCAACGAGAGGAATAATAGGTGGCTGGAATAAGTGGCATTCATTCTAAAGGAACATGGGGTGGGAAGTGAACAAGAAGCACTGAAGACACTACAAGCCAAGGGAAGAAAGTGTTTCGGGAAAAAAGGTGAGAACTATGCAAGTTTTTGCATTTGTTATAGTAAAACACAGAGAAGCTGTATGGGAACATAGGGAAGATGTGGCACATAGTAAGGAGAAAGAAATAGCTGCGAATTCCAAATTAATAGTTGGTATTGCATTTTACTAAATTATATTGATTTAAGCCCCTACTAGATGCCCAGTGCTGTTTTGCATATTGGGGATACACGGTGACCCAAACAGGCAAAATCCCTGTCCTCGTAGAGATTATATTGAAATATAGGAAGCAAATAATAAATAAATACAAAGATGCAAGGAGAATAGTGACAGGCATCAATAAAGAAAAATGAAGCAGAATAGAGAAGTGGAGATTGACCACAGATGCTATGTGAGGTAAAGGTCAGGGAAGAGCGATTTATGAAGATTTATGAAGATGGCTGTTGGACAGAGATCTGGAAGCAATGCAAATATCTATGAAAAGAGGCAATGGCAAATTCAGACTCCCTGACTTGGGATGTGCTTATTATCCAAGGAACAGAGACAAGGGTTCCATGATTGCAAATGGACTATTGAGAAGGCAGTGGGAGATGAAGTGAGGGATAAGCCCAGAGGCTGGATCACATGGACATGGTAAAATTATTGAATTTTGTTCTATAGGTGATGGGAAGTCACGGAGACGTAGCATATCTAATTCATCTATTGAAAACTGTGTAAGGGCAAGAGCTAAAAAAAAAAAGTTTTAAAAGCAGGAACTATAAAATTTAGTAAAAGATTGAATTTGAGGTGTGAGGGAATCAGAATAAAGACACATGAAACTAGGGTTTCTGATCAGAGTAAATGGATGAACAGTGGTACCATTTACTAACATGAGCAAAACAGCAAAATGATCGGGTTTAAAGGTGGAGAAAGGAAAGTATGGGCAAGCAAGATTTCTCTTTTGAACACAGCTGGCCTGTCTATTAGACAGTAATTTAGATAAGGTGAATTGACACTGATATGGAAATTGAGGTGGTTTCTATTGACAAGGCTGGAGACAAGGCTGGAGATAGTTTGGAATTCATCAACATTTCCCTAGCATTAAGGTCACAGGTACTAGATGACATAGTCTAAGACTCTAGTGTAGATGGAAAAGAGAGGGAACCTGAAAAGGAAAGCCTAGAGCACTCTCTGACTCTTAAAGATCAGGACGAAGATAAATGAAAAATAATGAAATGAAATACATGAAAAATACCCAGTAAGAAAAGCCGGTGGAGTAGGAAGTAAACCAAAGGCTTTGCGTGTACTACAGGCCAAGGGAAGAAAGTGTTTTAGCAAAAAGGTGAGAACCTATGGCAAATGTCACTGAGAGTCTGAGACTTAAATGACATTTAATGTGACAATGTGGAGACAGCCCTGGTTTCAGTGGAGAAAGACTGCAAAAATCTTATTAATACTAATAAAAAAGATTAGAAAGAGGAGCAAGTGAATATAGATAAGTTTTTTAATTGTTCAGTAAAAGGGAGAAATGAGACTTTATTTGGAAAGGGAAGTGGTATCCAGTGAGTGTGGTATAAAACAGGAGTTATGACAGAATGTTAATGATCGTACACATATTGCAGTGAGCCACCCGGAAAGAAAACCGATGATGCAGGGAAGAGAAGGGATAATTACAGAAGAAGAGCCCCCAAGTGGGTGAGAAGGGCCTGGAACAAAATCCTCAGAGAGGAGCAAACATAACAACTCAATCTGATGGAAGGATAAGAATCCCATTTTCTGAATGCTCTTTTCTTGGTGATATAAGATTATTGCCGAAGAATAAGGAAAACAGAAAGGTATTAAGATCTAAAAAGTAAGAATAAATATAAGATATTCATCTTATAATGTGAAACTATGAACCATTAGTGAGAGTGGCATTTCCAAATAGATGAAAGGACACCTTGGTCTCTTGGTCCTAAATATCCAGTAAGAAGGCTACATGTTTTTCTCCAGATACATTCAGCTGTTAGGGCACAAAGAAGAGTTGATGGAGCTGCTGATTTAACTAGGGTCGAGGTTTTTTTAGATGAGTAAGATGAGAAGGGGCCAAGGGAGATGAGGCCGACGATAATAAGTGACTATGGGTCCTATGTCGAATGTGGAAAAAAAAAGTACATGAGGGGGTGAAGGACAGGGAGAAGGTAGCAGAGTTCATGCACTGGAGGTCTTAGTGATAGAAAAATCTTTCACAAAGGGGAAAGAAAATAGGTGAGCAGGAAACTAATACGGTGATAGAAAGAGAGATGATAGAAACTGACATTTTGGATTGGTTGGGTGTGACACAGAATTGATGAACTGTGGTGCAAAGGAGCCAATATCATTGCAGGTGCGTAACGGAACTAGCAGTCCCAGGCATCAGATGAGTTATTTGCACGAATATTATAATTACCAAGATCATCATAGAGGTAATTGGAAAGAAAGTGATCCCTAGATGCTAATATCTTCAGTAAACGTGAGAGCTGACGGAAAACCTCAACAAGGATTGGCTGTAAGCGGTTCTGTTACACCACCTGCTAAGGGAACCAGATTACTTAAGTGTACAATTGGAACCATTGAGAAGTTTTTACAAAGCTGTGAAGTTGAGCATCAGAATAAGATTAATAACGATGAAAGAAATGTCAGCTCTTTTTACATAAAGTCATATTTTTTACAATCATTTCTTAAATACATAACTGTGGGCCAGCAAACAGATCATTTGATTATATATGAAAAATACAATCACCGATGTAAGACACCATCTTTCAATTACAAATGATATGGTTTGAGTCATTCTTCATTATTTTCGTTTGTCCAGAAACTTCAGGAAAATTCGAGTTACTTTTGATAATTCGATATTTTATAGAAAAGGTGCAAACAGGAAGCACTTCATTCATCCTTCGTGGTACTGCTTTTACTCACCAGGGCTGCTGGACGGGGCCTCCATAGGAATCATGAGCTTGGCCCGGGTGGCTCTGCGTGCAGCCAGGGACCTCTCCAGAGTGGACATGGAACTCCCGGCCTCCTCGGTGTCTTGACCTGAAAAAAATACTCCTGAGAAACACGTCTTCGCCAATGATGCCACGCTTTACATTATGTCTAGCCAGGCATTCAAATGTTTTCTTGGTCTTACCGATGCTTTAAATCATAATATTTACTTTCATGTTACCCAAATAATGATTTAAATGTACAAGGCTTAATGAAATTCATTATAACCTCATGACCAGAATAGGCCACCATTTATATGTTGATGCTTATACATTTTTTTCTGTTTTTTTTTTTTTAAGTTGAGACCTCACTCTGCCAACCAGGCTAGAGCACAGAGGCACAATCACAGCTCACCGCAGCCTCAAGCAATTCTCTTGCCTTGGCTTCCCAAAGTGCTGAGATTACAGGCGTGAACCACCACAGCTGGTCTAATTTTTGCATATGTATATACACATGAAAGTGGGATAACATATGTCAACATATTTATTTTGTAAAATTGTCATGATAACATACATACTATTTTATAACTTGCTTTAAGAAGGCAAAAATATTTTTCAGTCAATAAATTACTCAGTAAAATAAATTTAACATATATAATAATCCACTCTGCTAATTTACTACAGTTTATACAACCAATAATTTAGCCCTAAAGACATTCATTTTTATCGTCAAAAGCACAAGAAAAGAACTTAAAAAGTGAGAATGGGAGTATTTATATAAATTATAATTCTGTAAAATATCATGCTAAAGAGTCACTAAAAATCAGGAGAAAAAAATGACATATGCAGGGAAAGAAGGGAACACAACTTTTACTCTTTGGGGTACTACTTTTTATAACTTTTTGTACTTTTTTCTTATTTTTTATGATATACATGCTATCTTTTGTCGATTAACATTATAGCTAATAAACTTAAAAATGTAAAATAATGCAGCAGAAGTGTCCACATAGGAGAGAAGATGGTGGCCACTTAAATCTAACTCTCTGAACATGTCATCCAAAAATGACACAGAATCATAACGACAAATAAAATGATGCAAATTCTACCCTTCAGGACATCAAAAAAACAGAAAAAAAGAGAAAAACATCAAATTTCCTGAAAGTGCTAAAATCAATCATTCTTTCCAGAAAACTGTTCCTCAAGCTATAGCCACAAAGTATTTGTGGAAATCTGGATATCTGGAAAATCTGTACAGAAGAGAGAAGAATTTGATTAGGATCTCAAGAATGACCAAAAATCAGAAAGTATAGTCCAGTTGCAAACACATTGACAAGTTTCCTAAGAGACCAGAGTACTTAAAAGTGTGTAGGTTTTGAAAAACACCAGAAATCATCACTTGAGGGGAAAAAGAAATCCTATGCTGTAGGAAATTAAGAATCCAAAAAGGCAAAAATATTGAGAAAATTAAGAACTGAAAGCTTCCCAAATTTGGCAAAAGACAAATAAATCTATAGATTCAAGGAAATCTGTAAACTCTAAACAGGATAAAACCAAAAAAATCTATGCCAGACTCATACTTCACCTTCTGAAAGTCAAAGACAGCAACAGTAACAAAATCTTAAAAGTAATGAGAGGAAAAACTTTTTTTTTAAATAGGGGAACAATTAGAATGACAATGAATTTCTCATCAGGAATCATGGAAGCCAGTAATAAGTGACACATTTTTCAAGTGCTGAAAGAGAGCTGTCAACCCAGAATTATATTAACAGTATCCAGCTTAATATACATCAAGAATGAAGATGAAATCCAGTTGTTCCCCAAAGAGGGAAAATGAAAAGAATTTGTCTCCAACAGATTGGCACTAAAAAAGTAGCTAAAAAATTTCTCTTAACAGACAGAAATAACAACAGGAATCTTAGACAATTGAAAGCATTTACAACAGAAAGAGAAACAGATGTGGATCTTCAAAAGAAAAAAGTAACTATAGATCCAACCAGTGTAATATAGTCATCCAATAAGCATTTAATATTGTTGGGATCTGAGTGTATTCAAATAAGCAATAAACTTTTTATTCTAGAAATGTACTATGCTTGGTATTTTATGAGTTTATTGAGAATGAGAACAAAATTGTTTTTCTATTACTCTTTTTTAGTATACATTTTTTCAGTAGTAACACTTTGTGGTTTGTCTCTTGAAAAAAACCATCTGACATTATTCACCCTTGGTTCAAACAAGGTTGGGAAATTTAAATAAAAATTTTTTTAAACATGGAAATATATCAAAATTACTAATAAAAATAAGTATTAAATCAAATTGAGTACCAGCTGTTATGTATTCCCTCTAAAAAGATTTTTCACCAAATTGAACATCTTAAAAAAAAAAAAAAAA